TATCCATAACCCTGAGAAAACAAAACCTGTTGGAGGAGGGGGCATCATGCCTATAATACTGGTACTCAGGAAGTGAGAACAGGAAGGACAGAAGTTCAGTGTCATCATCAGTTACATAGTAAGTTCAAGCCCACTCTGGGCTATGTGAGGCATGACACCTTGTGAATATATAATATAATATAATATGATATGATATGATATGATATGATATGATATGATATGATATGTGATATGATATACTATACTATACTATAATATAACATAATATAACATAACATAATGTAATAAATATTGTAGCCAGAAGTTTTTCTGTGTCCTGCCTGGTCCACAGCCTCTCAGACCCAAGTAAATACACAGAGGCTTATATTAATTAAAACTGTTTGGCCATTAGCTCAGGCCTACCACTGACTAGCTCTTACATTTAAACCTATTTCTGTTAACCTGTATGTCACCAGGTGCTCTGTGGCTTTACCTGTGTGCCATTACATGCTGCTCCCTGGACGGCAGGCTGGCATCTCCTGACTCAGCCTTCTTCTTCCCAGAATTCTCCTTGTCTGCTTTTCCTGCTATACTTCCTGCCTGGCTACTGGCCAATCAGCATTTTATTAAACCAGTGTACAAAAGCATTGTTCCACAGTATTTTCCCTTTTCTGTTTAATTAAAAATGAAGGTTTTAATTTTAACACATTAAAATTACATATAACAAACAAGAATTACAGTTACAATATCTAGTCTATTTGGACTTCGTAAAATTAAAGAAAATATTCTATCTATCCTGTATTTGTGAGTCTAAACTTTCATATCTACATTATCTCTTATCATAACCAAGGAAAACCATAATTATAACTATCTAGTCTTCAACTACATCAAAGATCTCAGAAGGATATAATATTACCTAAGTAAACAGGAGATGAATTGTAAGCAACTTCTAAAATTCTGGAAATGACAGAGACAGTTGCCTGCCTGGACAGTTACCCAAAGTTCTTCTGGGCATCCATCTTCATCCCATAGGCCTAGTCTCTCAGTCATTTTTTTCTCTGTGTCCTGTAGAATGTCTGGCAGTTTCTTCTGAGAAGCAGGAATCTGAAGGATCATCTCGCCTTGCAAAGTCCAGTGGTCACCTACCTATGGGTCCTGTATATCTAGTTTATATGACATTTT